GTCTTATAAAGGTCAAATTCGCGCGTTCTTTAAACGAATACTCAATACAAAATAAGACGAAGTTTATAAGACCACACTTATCCCCAACCACCACCCACCCCCCAAAAGGAGAAATAAATGAAGGGAAAATACACAAATTAATTAAGTCCTTATTTTGTAGAATGTATGTGTTAGGACTTTAACATAATGACTGCCCAACGAAATTCTATCCCACAAAATTGATTTATGAACATGTATAAATTTAAAACATTGTCTTATTTTTCTTTATAATTACTCCTGAATATAATCAGATTTTATTGCTTGCATTCATTTACTGTTCCTGTAAACAAGAAAACTCTCATTATTTTAATTAGTGCATTGAGAATCATCATGTCGTAGCAATTATGAACGTACAGGGACATTGTTATAAATTGTGGAATCCGATTAATTGTCGGCGAACTACAAAGTTGATTTTTAAGAGCTAGTATTTCTAATTAAGCGGCTTTATAGAAAATAGTGTGTGTTTGTGCTCTTCACATAAAAATGTGTTCTTATGCAAAGAAATTAACAGTATAGTATCAAGAACAGATAAAACTTACTATTCTTGTAAAATGTGCACGGATGTCAGTTTTTAATACCTGGAAATTTCCTTTCCAATCAAATCGTGAATGCCACATACATTGTATTTATGTTACCATTTTGGGCGGCCTAAAACGGGTTTCCGTTCACTAATTTATCAATACTTTTCCTGTACAAGCTAACAGTAGATAGATATTTAACAAATATTAAAATTATATGTTATATTAAAATATAAATATATGTTACTATAAAACTAATAATAAAAAAAATCATTAGATGTGTGTAGATATAAAACTAATATGATTAAATTTTCTGTCAATGTGCATTACAATTATTTGTTAATTGCTATCATTGATAAAACAAAGTGTTGATAGTGGGTGGTATAAATCCCCTCAATATATTTGATAACACTTTACAGCATTCATAACATAGCTTTTAGAGAATGTTAGAAAATCAATTTCCTGAATTTCTGTCATGTCGATTAAAATTATTAAATGTGTATTTACATAGTATCTAAAAATAAAACGCATTTGTTGCCAGAGAAAAATAACTACAAGAAGGCGCTTGCAAAAACAATAATTGATTTGTGGCTCCTTGTAGCGAATTATTACAATTAAAACGGCGATAAAAGCACATTCCCTTGGCTATGAATAACTGTCAGTTTAATTCTTTGCTCACGCCAAAACAGACACTAAGCGTCAGGTTTTTGTTATAATATGTAGATATAAATCCAGAGGGATACAAACGCCTTGTTGAACTCCGACTTCCCGATCAATATCGTGCCCGATTGGGAGTTTAGACATTCGTATTAATTGTAGCATAAGTGGTAATTTAAATTTCAAATGAGTGAATCAATAAAAATATCTGCACTTGATCTAATGCTTGTTGATGTGGACAAGATCCTTGCGTAATAACCATCTGTATCCACTAAATCAAGTATTTCTTAATCAAAATTATGCAAACTAGTAAAGATTGGTGAATACATTTTCTACATGATTAGTTTTAATGTGTTCCAATGCAACATAGACAACAGTTGGCATAAAAGCAAATATCTTCCTTTCGTCTTTAGACTTTTTATTTATATCCATTAGACCATGAAATTCTCTTTGTGGTGGCTTATCCATATTTTACATATTAGGAATTCGTATTGTTAATCTGAATAACGCTGCTTTGCAAAACATTACAGCGCATTTCAATGAAGTTGTTGAAATGTTATTAATTTAGAAATAATTAAATTCAAAATTAAAATGTTACACATTGGAGTATTCTAACAAACAAAATCAACAACAACAAACTAACAAGTTTGCTGAACGTTTATCTTCGCTAACAAATTCACTACAGTATCATCAACAAAATTACCTAAGATAACATGAAATTGTAATAATTCCATTTTAGTAATGATTTATAATGCTTACAATAAATTATCTATTTCTTTGTTAATTTATACGCAAATATTCTTTGTAAATTTACACAATAAACACTTCTTTTGTTTTAAAATTCATCATATTTTCGGCTTTTTTTTATAATAACATAGTAACGGATTTATAATATCTGTCATATTTTGCGGTTCGGATCGGAATATCCGTCCCGAGGTGACCCGCCCATTGGGCGGTAACGAGGCTTGCCGAGTTACCGCCCATGGGCGGGTGACCGAGGGACGGATATTCACAGCACGCGACTCATCTGGAACCCCCCATGCCAGATGAAATTTCCGGCATGGGTAAAACTAACGGAAACGCCAGTCTGCTGTGCAAGAATATATGTCGCCGAGAAAAAAGGTGACAAATAGCTCGTACATTTGACTTGTACACCATTTTGTAACTAATCGGAAGTGAGAATGTAAATTATTCCGTGCAATATATTATGACATTTGTACTATCTACGCATTTCATACTTAACGAATGACATGTGCAGTATTTATGTAATATAGACTGACCTATTTATATAAAATGATAACAGAAAAACGTTCCCCAATAATAATGATGGAATATCAAATCTGTTATGACATTCAGTACTTATATATTTGTAGTTTTTAAATCATCATATTTCATTAATGAAATTGTAATTTCTTATGTTCGTAATTTTACTTCAGTTTCACTGAATCATATAATAATTGATTGAACACCTATAGGAATTGAGATTTGAAACAAAAAGAAAATTAATAATCATGACAATTTAAGTAAAATCGTTTATTCAATCCCACTAAGTCGCACCTTGTTCTATTTTTTATATATTTTTTGGGGGGAAATGACTCAGAGTCTCATAGACTCCATGTTCACTGTCGTAAAATACTTTAATGTGAAATATTAAACATTTTCCCTGAAAATAAACGATAAATGCCTCAATCATCTTTTTTTAGAAGTTTAAAATGACGTCAAAGTAATTGTTTTAACATGAAATTTTAAAGCGTGTTTCCAAAGTGCCTGTTAGGAGATCACATATTACAGAATTTTGTACATGATATTCTTTAACAAGTGTCTTGTAATTAAATGAGTTAAATACAACGTTTAAAATGTCCTTTGGGGGACTTTTTCTAAAGAAATATTATCACTTTTTCCGTATGACGCCATACAATAATAACTATTCCATTTTTTTATATTCGGAACTTTATGAGTTCGGGGAGGGGGTTTGTTTGTTGTTGTTTTTTTAAAGAACAAATAACACTTAAAAGTGCACCTTTCGACATAAGTTGGTGTTGGTTTTTTATCGTTTGTTTTTATTATTTAAAAATATTTAAACAATAAAACATACACAACTGGAATGCCGGATCGATTTTTGAAAAATACTTCATCCAAAATGTAACAGTAATATTCAGATTGTATTCATATTAAAACTAACATTTTGATGCTATTTAAGAAATAATATATCCCAAACAGTGATTTTATCGCTCAATAACATCACTGTTTGGAGTTCGGATGCGAGGAATTATATCACGAGGGCGTAGCCCGAGTGATATAATGATGCGCATCCGAACGACAAACAGTGATGTTATCAAGCGATAAAATCACTAATTTGGATATATTATTTCGATTCTAACACGACATCAACAAATAAATGTTGCCGTACTTGATAGCTAAGCAAAATTGCGCCTGATTTGTTTCCGTACTTATTTTCAGCGCGTCGGATTTTTAGTGGTTACGTCGCGTGTATAATGATTACGTCACATGTCTAAATATAGAACGTCAAACTGTGCATCTGTTGCATAATAACACACACTTTCTGTTCTTCTATGTTCAATAGGGAAAAATGCGGGTCGTGTTAGAATTCATTATAATGGCCTAGTGTCTTAGAAGATGTTGTCAACAAAATTGTTATTTGTTATAATTTGTGCATATTTATGTGTATTTTTACGGATTGAGATATACTAGACCCGGTACAATACACATGCCTTGAAATACATGTAGTTCCGATTCTTTTAAAAAAATTCTTTTTATTATTTTTTGTTATATTATATTTTGGATTAGCGAACCGGGATATACAGAAGTAATAAGGGTTGAATATATTGCATATAGCTTACACCCACTTGCAAATATACAGACTAAAATCAATTTTAGAATCTTTCACATTTATATAAAAATAATAAAACATTCATTGTACGGCTTATTGTCCAGTAAAACACGATCGGCCTTCCTTCCGTTTGTCAATTGTAGATTTATAAGCATATAAAGACATGATATGTATATACACAATTTATCATCGCTATGATACAAATAATACTTAAATTAAGATCAGTAATACGTATCACAATTTAGCTGATATACGTTTTCAACAAATGTGCTCCTAATTTTTATTTTCTCATGGCTGTATCAATTTTAAGGATCTTTAGAGCCATTTTGTTATTAATCAAATTAAATATGTCTCTTTCTTGATATTAGATTGACATATTGCCTGTAATAATAATAGTTTTCCGATATAATCGCTTTAAAGTAATTATCATTTATACACTGTATAGTTTGGCGGTGATGATCTCATATACGATATTGATCATTATTCAACTTTGAAGATATATAAATCTGTAAACGCCTATTGTTGGCTTTTAATAGAAGTTAATTGTTTTCCATTGGCAACATGAGACTAAACACTTGATATTTACTATTATGATAAGTGTTTGGTAGAAGTCCTCGTCATATCTGTGCTGTTTACAATTGATTTAAGTTTCGGATTACATTTTACAGAAGTACATTAAAAATTAATAGAAAAACAGATTTTTATAATTACATTTTATCTAGATTTTTACTTGATAATATATCTAGTACTGTCAAAATATAATACCTTCGTACTCTTTAATCTAAGCTGTACTTTTCTTATTCCTGGTTATAGTGTAACAATTTCTTGTGTTGTTTTTCCTATCTATATTTATACAGTCTAAGTATCTGCTAAATCATAAATATACCTTACTGAACTTACCTACATTATAGTAATTATATACCTTTGCATTTCAGGATTGCTTGCAGCTGAAAATATACCTAGTTTTGAGAGTATAGGTAGCCAATGAAGCGAATTATTGACCTGATACTGATGGCAAATGAATTTAGTGCAAAGTTCCTTTTTTTAATTGATAATTTTGTGGGTTTTCCCCCCGCTAAAATCATTGGTGGTCATATTTTGAATAACAGTCTTTTTATAATTCAAATTCTTGAGCTAAGTACTCTTTCAAATGGAATCATATAGAAACATTTATCTGAATTTGATTGATGTCTTTTTGTTATTATTAATACAGAATATTTGACATAAGGTTACATACAAAATTCATTTGTCATCTACGTTCTTTACTTGCGTGGTCCATTGCGGGCAAGCGTTCGACACAATATCTATGCATGCTTGCAGCGAGTTGTTGTTCCTACTTGTATATCTACATATATATCTCTCTCTATGCTCTACCTATATTCTAATATCTCCTCTTCCTACTGCCTACCTCTAATTCTGTAATCTTTTCAGTGTTACTCATCTCTTTATATTCGTTTGAAATTTATATATTTGAATACACAAAATGTAAGTTGATATATATATAAACGCCGAAAATGTTACTGAACTTCTTCGAGGCTTGAATGATGCGGATGACCGTTCAAATAATCATGTTGCGTAATAATTGTTTAGTAATTATAAACAGATTGAATTTAAAGTCTTAATATACTTTCTTATAAGAATAACATAAAAGGAAAAAACTAGAGACATGATAAACCATAAAAACACAAGGTTTTTCATAAAATATTCAGTGCTGTCCTAAAGCGAATATTAAGTCATAAATGTGCAATAAGAATAAATATAGATTTGCAGTTAATCTTGATCGTGCGTTCTATGACCGAAAAGACATTGTCAATAGCCTCTGTTCAAATATTTGTCTTCTGTATAAGAAATTGTAGAAGTAACTTTGACACTGCAGACAGAACAATGTAATTTTACACCAAATATGGAAGTTGGCATAATTTTTGACAGATGATAAGAAATTTCCTACGGAGAAACTAATATATAATTCAGGATGAGATATTCTGTTCCAGTGCCACGTCGACTATACCATTGATCAGAGAACTTTATACAGGGGCCTTGATTACTGTCGTAAATTCTCCTGTTTAACAACTAAAACACTAGAAATCAATTATAATTATGAGGGAACATGCTCATCTGTTTGTTTGCCACAAAGACTCAGTTTGATGTGTGTTTACATGAATTTATAGGAAATTGTAAAAGAAATGTAAATAATAAACTGCAAATTAAGGCAAATAAAGCATACGGAGGTAAAGGAATGGTTTTAGAGAAATAGATAATAGGATTGAGGAAAGCCTAGCACGTTTAATGAATGGGAACAAGACACATGTTTGAAAATGGCCACGGGGCGGCTCTTCGATTATCGGAAAATTAATTAATATGATATCTTACACTGGTCTTTGAGAATACAAATTAAAAGCCTGCATGTTATTTAGAACATTATAAATGAAACGAGTAATTACTAGAATAAACGAATCATCAAAAGCACTCTTGACATCTTTAAAAGTACTTTTCTATATAGAAATTAACCGCGTGAGGTACAATTTGTTACAAATGCTGTAAATAAATATTAATTTGATTTTTTTTTCATAATTAGCTTCGCTACACGTGGTCTTACTCAATTCTTTAAATCGTTTGAAATATTTTGCTACAGCTTTTACGACAGGGTGCTCGAAGTATTATATAGAATAGATTATAGTTATTTAGCTGTAAATGTTAAATGAACGTGTATGGGCCGTCCATGGCTAAGTGGTTACGGTCGCTGCATTCAAATCACTTGCCCCTCACCAGTGTATGTTCGAGTTCCGCTAGGGACTCTAGATTCATTCATGTTAGGAAGCTATCTAACAGAACGCCGGTGGTTTTACTCGGGTACCCGCTCATAATTGAAATAATGCACGGAGGGGCACCTGAGTTCTTTCTCCACCATGTAAGAAGGAAAGTCGCTATACATGTATGGCCCATACTATGTTGGTGCGATGCAAAACCAAAAGAAAAAAAACAACTGCACCAGACGTAAATGTCCTAACAGCAACAGTTTTTTTTATCTCTAGTGATCTTGTTGATCCTAAGATTTCACAATCTTTTACACTAATACGAGGGATGATCAAAAATTAACCGGACTTTGTAAATGATTCGTTACCTGTTTAATGAATTTACATAAAAATACACGGAACATAAATCGGAATCTATTCCCTAAATGATACAAAAAATACCAACAAGAAATATAAACAAATAAAAAAGTTATGCAGTTAGTGTCATGTACATGTAAAGCAATGCGGCGCACGGTATAACTTTGAAATTGACGTTAACGACGTCACAAGCGTATTTTCCCTAACGGAGTAGTTTTTTACTCATTCACATAGTATGCCAATAAGTGGAACAGTCATATTGTTGATGCGGCGGATCCACTGCCTATATATATTTCTGTACAAGTGGGTAACATATTGTATCGTAAAAGAATGGATGATGATAAAGAACTCCTGTAATGACGCAAATTTCCGTTCTTTCCTTCTGTAACTTGATTGCTGGAAAAATTGCACATGCACTAAACTATATTTTGTATTACAAATAATGTAAAATAATGTTGCTGAATGATATTGTATCATACATAAGAAAACATAAAAGGATAATACAACTATGAACAAAATTGTCATTATTTTAATATAAATAAAACGCATAGCCGAGTTTGAACTGTACCTGTCTAATTGTTGACACAATTTCTCAAAAAAAAATTACTGCGTAAAATAAGAAAATAATTGATACAATTGTAAACCAAGAATACAATATATGTAATTAATGCATTAACTATTATCATTTTAAAATCCTTAGAGTTGACTGCACCGTCCCGTAGCTACTTCGAACATCGTTGACAATGTCCTCAGTCAATAGACTTGTCATTTTTCAACGTCTTGGCGATTGACGTCACCAACGTCCTTGAAAATTTCTTTTTTCGTCTCTCCCTTACTTGTTTTCTATTTCTCTATTACCCTTAATTAATTTTTTATGCTAATGAAAAAATATGCTGTTGCTTTCTGGAACTTTTCCCTTGATAGCCATAATCTTTTTCTACGTTTTAAACAGTTTCTCGTCTTACTTTTGACAAATTTTTCTTATTGATCGATTTTCGAGACATTCAGACGACATAATTTTAACGGGAGTTTTTCATTAACATGTGACGTTTGAATTGTGGTTGCAAATATAAAAATGATTTAAATGAAGTCATTTTTACTGACAACGTCAAAGATATGGTTCATGACGTTTTGGCGTATTTTGAAATCTAAATGTGCCATATTGTAAAATATACGCAGCTTAAAGCGCCTGGTGTCAAGGCGAATGTACGCACTGCGCCGGGTATGCGTTACCATGGTTTTTGAATTTGCTGTAACGGACAAGTTTTTAACGTTATCAGATTAGATAAAGCATCAGTTTACAGGTATTGTTTTCCGGTTAAGTGTGATATATAACAATAAGTGATGTGTTGAAAATTCTTCAATTGACAGTCACAGTCCGGTTTATTTTTGATCATCCCTCGTATATTGATGTTATGTAAATTAAACATAATTGTATCAGAATAATGATTTACAGCATTTACAACATTAATATCAGCTACGCTTACATTTACATGTTTTAAATGATAAGGTAAAGTGAGCTGATAACTTCGTAACTAACTTTATAACAACATTTAAGTATACTTAGATGAAATCTGACAATAATTACTACTTTGAAATTTCTGTCGTTGGTTTGAGACTTCTACGTGAATGAATATTATAAAATTATCATCTCGTGTTGGCCGGGGATGTATAACTCGTGTATATCAGACGTACCCACGTGACATAAATAATTTAATAATCTCATCCTTCAATGACTGATGACCGTATCGCCTTATAGAGAAGTTTTGACAGCGAATTTATCATAAATTTTCTAAGAGTGCAAACGTTCAGGCAGAAAAGGAAAGAAGTTTTTTGTTGTTTTTTTTTTTTTTTAATTGAAACGGCATAACTTCATTCGCAAGGTTTTAGTTTATACTGAAATTGTATGCACTGACTGCGCAACTAAAGCGTAAGAGCAGTATAATGCGGATATGTAGTAAATATGCGGCCCGTATTTCCGTAATTTTTTACACTCGCGATTTGTTGTGTCTAACCTGTATATACAGTAAACTAATTATAACTGTTATATTTTCTTTTTCAGATAACATGTATACTCATCTGCACCGACTTCTGAACTTTTTTATATATAAGCACATCTTGTAATTGTCAATTGTGTGATTTTACAGATTTGTATTGTTTACTCCTTGCGGTTTTTCTTTCACAGAAAAAACTACGATCGCACTGAAATGAGTCCAGTAAAGTAAAGATCATTAAGTAAATATGCATATATTTGGTTTTGAGGAATTCATAATATTTTTATACTGATTTACAAAACAAGTTCCGTAATATTCCGTTATATCAAGGTGGGGCTACCGAATGTAAACGTGTTTATATTTATAATATTTCAAAGTCGCAGTAATTTAACATTCTACTTTGCTGGTCTCATACTACAATGTTTAATTGCTTAACGAATGGATCAGTCTAAAATGTTATTTTAATAACATTTTATGTTAAAGCAGCTTGCCACCAGATGAGCCAAAGTATGTCAATAAAATAAAACTTGAGAAAAATGTACTAATATTTAAGAAAAAGTTTTAAAAAATCAAGATTCAAGTAATAATTTTTATGTTTTGTGCGATTAATGACTAATTTTTCAGTATTTACAACAATATTTTTACTGCGTTACTAACACAGTATGTGTTATTTTTGCATATTGTTACCTCTTTTTGGCATTTTACGCGGGTTGAACGTGCCATTGATAATGTTAATGGCTTCGTTTGGGTTACTTCACCGTGTTTTGCTTTTAAATTCATTTTTAACATTTTCAAAAAAATATCATGAATCTGGAGGCATGCCGATTTATGTATTATACACGTTTCTATACAATTTGTTTAACTTTACGAGGAGAGCCTTTTTTGTCTGGTCCATTCGTTGAGTTAACATGTATTACACCGCACAATTTATATCTTTGGTCATAGTGAATACAAATTGTATTGATGTGAACTAATCAAGTACATTCAGTATTATTTCAAGTATTGTTACATGTGTACCGCTATTTCTCTACCTTCTATCTTCTCTTACTCAAATTGTAATATATAAACAAAGAAATGTATAAGTGGAATTGCATATATATAATAGTATATATATATAAATATATACTATTAAGTATTCGAAAAACAAATACAGTTGTGTTATTAACAGATATTTACTATAAATACTGTTAATTATAACTGTTGATTATTACTTTGATGTTTTAATTAAAAAATACGAAAGGCCGATTATGCTGTTTTCTTGATTAGATATAGCTATATTTTCACTTCAGTATAGTGCAAATCGCAGATGATTATAGAAATGATTGTTCAGAGTAAAGGCTTTCATTCAAAAACATAACAACACGGAAGAATACATTTGTATTTAAAAAAGGTTCGCGTCGATATTTTTGTTTACATATAATAAGAACAATATCGAGATATCATTGTTCCCATATTTGTCTGACAAATCACTGGACGCTTTGATAGCATTCCATGATACTAGAGAACGAACCGCCTGCGGATGGCATGATAGAATGATTTAAGAACACTTCACGGTCTACAGAAGCGATCTCCAATATGGGATCACCTTGGAGCCACGCGCTTTGAAGAGCGATCAATAAGACTGAAGATGTCCATGAAAGGATAAACGCCACTCCAAACATTAAGATATCTCCAATGAAAAGCGCAGCGGATGAAATTAGAAAATTCTCACAAGGAAAAATTGAATGATGCTTTTCTTTGGTCTGAATAGCCTGTTTTCATAAGTTTGTAAAGTAATCGAACGGAAGAGTCCTAGGTTTGATTAAATGGCTTTTTTCTTTGGTGATGTCATTTCATTCACTATCACCTCGTCAGTGCAAAAGAGGGTGATCTTTTATTTATCCTCACTCTTGGAGACACGTGTGCATATATAAATCAGAAAAAAAAATTAAACGTGTTTAACGAATCTAATTTAGTTATATCAGAACGCTTGATTAAATTATTTTTCTTTGTTTTAAATGGAATTGTGTAAACGATGTTACGAATTCTTTGTTTCTAAAATAGTTAAAACTTTTTTGTGCTTCTACTTTCACTTAATCATATCTTCTATTAGTTCCGCTTCTGAAGAATTCCATTTTGTTCGGATTTTTGTGATGATAAACAAGACTGCAGTTCTGAACAATCACGAGGAAATGTTGTTTTGCATGAATCATGCATAAATCATGCTGATAGAGATATTTATGACGATAACGATATTCTGCGATATTCGGCAAGATGATAAACTTAATCTTCCCGAACAAGATCACGTGTTCCCATATAATGTAAATTGTTCCTTTTTTCTGAATAAACAAAAATGCTTGACGCGACTTTTGGCATCATAAAACACATTTATTCCATTGTTATAAGATAAATCAATTTAGTATATTTCCTAGAAAACTACTCGATATTTATTAAGTTCTCTTATGTTAGACAATCTTGAATTGAGAAAGAAATACACGTATTGATATATTAAGATGTGGCACGGCTTTGGGATGATAGATGGTCGCTCTATGGGTTACGCAGGCACAATGGTTATATGTCTCAATTTTTGATATTACTGTTATTTGGCTCCATTTCTGGCGTTTAAAATCAATATTGAAAGGGGAAAAAATCTCAAACATAGCTATTAAAGTTTGAGATTGGTGTAATGCGGCTGAACGTTTATGCGTAATCATTAAGCTATTTTGTTGTTCGACAATATTTTGTGTATGGTGAAGAGATAAATAAAGTATGTGTCGTTAATTGATATATCAATACTTTTAATGATGTATTTGTTTTATATTTCTTACTTCTTCTTTGACGATAGTTGAACGTTTTTTTTTTCGTTTATTTTCTTGATAGGAAATATCTATACTTTCATGGTTATGCTCAAATATACACTTTTAAAGATCGTTATTTAGTTTACGGGGAACCGTGAGCATAAACCACAACGTAATGTATGTTTGAGATATAACAAACAATGCGGGATATGAACGATTATTCATGTGAAGTAAATGATAGCTTTCGGAGATGAAAAATCGATGTAAAATTACAGGTCCGTAAAAGGCAACAGGCCAATTTTGTATGAATAATACCTCATACTCAATGATTTCAACATTTAGGAAATCTTATTACCATCATATTTCTTCTTGTACATAGTCTGTAGCTATCTGCTCAAAACGTTTCTTATGATATTCAATGGCAACATATTTTGAGAATAACAATCAATTTTAGATTGGTACATACTTTATTTGCAGTATTATATTTTTTAAAGACGGACCCAAAATAAATAACGTACAAGATTCTATATTAAATAGTTCTAAATATATTGATTTTAAAGGTCTTAAGATCAAATGTAAAAACTCGCAAGGTAATTTTGTTACTGCAGTTTAATATAATTTAATAAAAATCACAGCTTAAATTGTGAAAGGAGGAGTGAATTATGTCTATGTATTTTAACGTTTTGAATGTTTATATTTAAACGTTTACTTTTATAACAAATGCTAATATATTTTTAATCAGATTTCATTATGCAGCTAACTGAACTGTTCTTATATATATATGAATAAACATCCTTTTTTGTAGGTAAAATTGGTAAGTATAAAAAATACAATAAATTAAATAACATAAGCTCCCATGATAAATTCAGTATTTCCTAACTCTAGTGCATGCTGTTATTGTCAAACCTCCGTATACACACATTTCTTGTTTAGTTTAAACACTCATCTACTAATTATGTATGTTTTAGCGTTTGGGTTGGAGCCAAGTTTTGATGTCCCTGTGATCAATGTAACAGTACAGGAAGGAGATGTTGGCGTCTTGCCGTGTTCTGTTGACTACCTCGGGGAACACAAGGTAAAATAGAGAAAATAAGAAGCCATAAAGAAGTCCAAAGCGGCGACATTGAAAATGTTGCAAGATTCGGTTTGATTGAGTTGTTCCTGGTCGGTACTATCAAGTACAAACTACTTTCCACGCCCGTAGCACCGACTTAAGTATAATTCAATATTAAAACATGAAAATGTGAAATTTTAAATTTAGAAACAGATGTGTTCAAATGGCGATTATCGCATCCTTTATATCGTTCTTGTGCTAACAATCAATGTCTGTGTAAGTTTGTCTGAACTCGAAACGGGAGCTCTAAATGTCTGCAATTTTCACATATGGTATATACTTATACAGTAGAGCTAGATAGACCGGATGTTCTCTCTTCACAATTTCTTTACCTTAGATTAAACATAGTTTAACAAAGTGAGAGGATTGTGAACCTCTATATTTATTCCATTGACTTCAATGAGTATGTGGTACATTTGTTTACCTTTTAGCAATTGGTTTGTTTATCTTTATTTCTGATTTATAAAATAATTTATACAGTATAGAGATATATGCGAGCTATGATATTTGGACAAATGTGAATGTCAACAGACATATTATATTCACTCGGAACAACTTTGCATATTCCTTCAGTTTTCCTCATCTCTAAAAGTTGATATATAATTATGTCTTTTCCCTGTTAGATGACAGTGAGTCGTAAAATACTTGGAAAGCGTTTGCCTCATGAAATTAAATCCATTCGGATACGTTATGTTGCTACTTTAATTCCGGAAATTGGCTCCTATTTGGATCATTTTAATAGTGATATTAGACCCCCATTTGCATAGTTATTCAGAAATTGTATAATAAAATTTTATTACACTCCGGGGAGGATTTTATCATAAGATAAAATAGTTTTCCATGTACAAGAAAACACGATCATTAGCTGCTGTGTGACAGGGATGTTACTTTAAAAAAGAATGATAAATTTAAATTTGTTAAATAGAGAAAACATAATTTATCAATATAATTAAGTCTCTTCATTTCAACGGTTTTTGCTTGTTTACACATATATAAATGTTCTGCACTGTTATAAAAACTAATTAAACATGATATTTAATCATTTATGTCACACTAAAAATGTACTTTGCAACACGAGGTATAACTATCTATATTACAGCAACATTCTAAGTTTTATATACATTCTATAACTCATGAATTATCCGGTAACTTAAATAAATAAAAATTTCAAAATACACGAAGCAATAATTTCATTTCTTGAATAAGGAAGAATTTAGGACTGTTATTTTAGGTCGCTTCTATTGCCTTATGTAAATAAACGTTGTAAGATGAGCATTACTAAGGAGAAACCAATTTAGCAAGAGTGTACTCCCTGTCATTTAAACACATTGTAAACATTTGCAATCCGGTATGCAAACAGTGTAGGAAGGCCTATAATTCAATAAGTCAATTAACTCGCTATATGTCCGTTTGACAAACTTTTTATTGAAGTAATATGATGATTTGTTGAAGAAGTTTCAGATCTGCACTATGTTCAAGTCGACGCTATTTCTGGTAATTGAATAATGCGTCAATTATTTTATCTGACATCTATCTTGGTAAACATTTTAGTGAAAGTTGCGTGTCCGATCTATCAATTTTGATAAAACAATTCTTGTACATTTGCTTTCAAACTTAATTTGAACCCTCTTTAACGTCGACATTTGAAGGAAGTTTCGATGATATGAATAAATCTATGACAGATTTTGTTTCATGTAACGTATTAAACTTGTACTTTTAACAAATTATATGTGTGCGATGTATCTTGAACAAGATTTTTATTTGTTCACATAAGCTATCTATTAACAGCCAGGCTTATTTGTGTATCCTATATTTCGTTTAGAACAATCAGTTTTCTGTAAACGCGTATTCCTTTGTCAATTATAACAACATTATTTAATGTGATAATTTGTGTCGTCATTTCAACTTTAGGTTGTATGGACTGACCAATGGTCAACATTACTGACACTAGATGACCGGCGTATAATAGATGATCCGAGAATTAGCATAGAGAGGCCTTACACCAAGGACTGGAACCTTCATATCAGAAAGACAAGCTATGCTGACCGTGGCCAGTATACATGTCAGATCAACACCAACCCTGTCAAGACAAAAACCGTCATGTTGATAGTCCTAGGTACGGAAACATGTGAACTAATTATTTTATACTCCTAAGGCTTCAGATATTTCGTTTGATACTTTCAAATACGTCGAATAATACTTATATTCCTTATAAATATCTTTGCATGTTTGATTGACGATATGCAATCTTTTGTTATTCCTGGTCACGTTATCTTCATTTCATGACGAAAAAGATTAATTATACCATATTTGAACGAAATTACAATCAATTGTTGTCCAAATGTTTGTAAATAAGGAAGTTATGACTCGTTAAAGTTATAAGCGGAGTGTTATTTTTCTAAATATATTACTTTAAACAGTTCTTCATCCAAGGTCTATCCTTAATGTTCTTGCTTTCTTTTAATAAACGTGCATTTCTTTTAAGCTTGAATGTCTTTACCTAGTATCTGAAAATCATATTTCGTTAGATATATGTTTGAAAAGGTTTAATAAAAGTATGAACGATTTTTGCATTCGCAAACTGACATACCTTTGAATTGATTTTGCCTATAGTTCCGTCCAAAATTATAAATGAGTTATCCAGTGGTGACAAGACAGTCCGGGAGGGTGAAACAGTGACTCTCGTCTGCAACGTTACCGGCGTTCCTACACCGGATGTCACGTGGTACAAATTACCAAATGAAGGCTCACAGAAGAAAGAAAGTTTGTAGATTGTTGCCTGTTGTTTTACCCTTCTTTTAATTAATAACTTTTTCTATGCTTAACAACATAACATCTGACATTCTCACTGTTCTCAATCGCTTCTAATTGATTGTCTTGTTATATTAAACCGATATTTGATATGTTTTGCATACAACATACTTGTTGATAAATTGTGCTGCCAAAATGCATTTTGTGCTTTTCATATTTTAAGACAATTAATTCCCTATTTATCAGAAACTGATATGATGTAGATAATTGCTAATACAAAAGATTCGTTCACACATGCAACCATTGTACTAATTTAGTACTTTATTGAATATTTATTTTACTGAATTTACTTATCTTGATTCAAATCAAATGAAAAACCCCGTTCGTCGTTTTTTTCTAAATTATTCATGTACATATGCACGATGATAGTCAGGAATTAAATGACTGTGGGTTCGAATCTAGCTAGTGTCGTTTCATGTGTTGATGTAATAAATCCATTTTGGTTACCTAAAGTCAGTAGTTTTCTCGTCAGAGAACAAATATCTTTCTTTACAAGTAATCTAGAGTCGCCGTATAACTTTAACATTGTAGATGTTCAAAAAAGCTATAATCAGTTGTTTCCAAAATAGAATAAAATTTGAAGAAACCCTATTTAAAAGATATAATGTTTTGTTGGAAGATCAGGTGCGCTATAAACAATATCGTATTAACGCCAGACACCTACGCTGCGAATCGTTGCAATTCACCTATCATGGTGCTTTGACGAAATGCTGTGACGACCTAATTTGTTTTATGATAGACACTTTACCAAGAACTTAAATATTTTTTTTTGTTTTTACAGAATTTGTTCAAACTTGAACTTTGTTTTTATTTATGTTAATTGAACAAATTCAGTTAAGTTTAAAGGCGCAAGAATTTGAAGTAGCATTAATGTCCTGAAATTCAGCTACAATGCTTTTGTAGAATCAATGTTTGAAAAAAAGCACATTTGAAGAGGACAAAGTATTTTCAATGACTACACAGTTACAGGAAATAAAATGACAATGATATTACAAGATAATATCCAGTTTTTGGTCTTCTCAAGCAACCAGCAATCAAGCATATATAATACGATATTTGAGCCTCGTCACGACAAAACCAACATAATGTGTTTGCGACCAGCATGGATCCAGACCAGCATGCGCATCCGCGCAGTTTGATCAGGATCCACGCTGTTTGCTATCAGTTTCTCTACTTGTTATAGGGTCTGTAAGCGAACAGCATGGATCCTGATCAGACTGCGCGGATGCGCAGACTGGTCTGGATCTATGCTGGTCGCAAACCCATTATGTTGGTTTTGTCGTGACGCTGCTCATTTATTTAATTTAGGAAATAGATGTATATGATTTATTGTTGAAGCATATCTTAGTTATATATGATTAACACGAAATTTCTAATTTCTAGGACTTCATTTATATTTTATGTTCTAATACAAAGTAAACAATACTATCATGATTTAAAATAAACGGAGACATACAGACTTCAGTATATGTAATAACATGTTTACTAGAACATGTTTACTGGGCAGAAACAGTACTGAAATATTCAAGTATACAAGTAACATAGAAACAACCACTATCGTTTTCTAGCGTTTTCTTTTGCTTTTGAGAGAAAATCACACACGTCTTTCAAATTATTCTTTTTTGTTTAACAAATAATATATATTTTTCTTGCTAATTTAGAAGACCTTTTTAGTCCTTTCGTCATTTTTGTGTACAATTTCTAGTTTCCCTAGAGTGGCTATGCATGTTATGTCCTCAGCCTGCATGTTTATCAATCCATTTATTTGTTTGTTTTTCTACCCAGGTCTCCTCTTAATTGATTTGTTTTGTTCTATTGTTTCCCTCAGGGCTAGACCTGGACCCCGGTTCTTATACACTCATCAGATCCTGTGCGTACACACTCCATCAAACAGGTATACTCAGCCTTCGGCTCCGTTGTCTTTGTCTAGAAATTTTAGATGGCTTTGACATCAGATAATTAAAGTAACACTTTATGAGACTAATCTATCTTAGAATTCAAGACTTTCTTAAAGCAATCCCTCAAACAAGTTAAGTTCTTTCACATTTAAAATGACACTTTTTGCTTATCATTCTGTTATAAAGTAAACATCGCTATAAAATCGTAAACCTGTACGTTTTTATTGGAGTTAAGGAATCGAGGTTTAGAATGAAGTAATGTGTATTCAACCAACAAACTAGGTAACTTTTTATGTAACCAGTGTCGGATATTCAGGTCATATCTTACACTTTTATTATTATTTTGAAGTTAATTTAAAGATATTATTTTCTTTTTATAATGCTCTATTTTTATCCATCAATATTTCCTGAATTATGGGTAACTCTGTCAATAAACAAAATAATAAAATAAAAGATAAAATAAACGCCAAATATTTGTTAAGCAAGTAAATTCTTTTTGTTCATTTTCAGTTAAAATCATTCTTTTTATTAACTGAACAGTGCATCAGCTAATTGCATTGTGTTATATTAAAATTCGTCATTTATTTTAGATGTTTGAATAATTTATTAAACATTACAGAGTACCTTTTTGAGGATAACAGGGAAGGGCGTAATATGTTTGTAAACGTGATAGGTTACATTTCAACAGAAATGGATGGTATAGAATTAATGTTGCACTAGAGTGTCGCTGTAGAACCGCTTTGAATCACGTGTTTCATTACGTCACAAATTACGTCACACTTTACGTCAGTAGAACTACAAAATGTACTTGAACATTACATTTCTGTAGGCAGACTTTTTTAGAATCTGGCTTTTTGTCTTCATATTTGCTTTTTGACGTCTTTATCGAATTTTATGCTATCAAGAAAAATCTATTTGAAATATCATAACTTAAGCGCCAGGTTTTGAATTAGTTAAATATTCAAAAGTAAGACTTGCTTTGTACAACTTAGAAAGCTGTTTTTATAGTAGAGAAGTCTGTATGTCCCCGCTTTTATGCCCTCAAAATTTCCGAGATGCAAACACTTAAACTTTATATTATAAATTATTTGTTAGTGTTACTACAATTTTTCTTTACCACTGTTCTATTTTATAATCTGTTTTTAACAAGTGATATATATTCATAAATACAAATACATTAAATGAATATTCTTATGCATTTTTTTAAAATTAAGACATACAGGCTCTCTCAAAACATTTGACATCTTAATGAAATAGACAATGTGTAGTTGCAGGAAAAAAATAACACAAATTTAAATTAAAACAATCTAGTTGTTTTCCAAAACTTTTTCTGAAATTTGCCTTCTAGATTAGAATTGTGTGGATTTGTTGTTTGCTAACTATTTAGCTGTGTGGTAGGATACTGAAGAATACAAAACAGTGTGTGGAAATAAAGTAGACTTTTCTACATGGCAGACTAGCTTAGATTTGCTCTTGGTGTTTTAGATTTAGGCCGCAACGAGATCAATTTTATGATAAATATTTTAGATTTTGACTTTTCACTTTATAAACACTTTTACAATTTTACTTCCCAAAAGTTTTAGCTTTATTTAAAATTTATATATTATGCGTTTTAGAAGAACGAAATATCAGTCTTCTTTTTCTATTACTATTGATTTTCACTCTATTTTCTGTGTTTTATTTAGTACAAACCAAATGTCGTGTTAATTTCGTGTAGTTTTTGTTAATTCCCGAAAACGATAACAAATGTTTTATTATATAATTTCATAAAGCTTGTATCCATTTAATTTGCCCTAATATTTAATTTTAAACAATATTTTTTATTGTTTTTTCCTCATGTGAATGACAATTTGATTGGACAGGAAAATAATTACAGTATTTAAGGAAATACTTGCTATCAAGTTGACAATGAAACGCTATATAACATGCAAAGTTATGCAAAGTTATTCATGCTAGATATTTATTCTATCTCGTAGGAAATTATAACAAATCATTTATTATCCTGTCCAATCAATACCCTGTCATTAAAACCCTTTGATTTGATGTAAATAAACATATTTAAATAAGATAAATCATTTTCTATAATAAATAAAATTGTTTCTGTTTTAGGAATAGGTACAACAGGTGAAGTGTTGATAATTCACAATGTATCCAGATATTGTGACGGTACATATGAATGTGTAGCATATAATAATGTAGAACCGGCTGTTACACGACAGATTAAGGTGTTTGTTGAGTGTAAGTATACTAAAAATATATATTTTCTTTACATTCATTCATGAATGCCATTTCTTAATCTGGAAAAAAGGTAGTTCGGATATGTTTAGTCAAATCTAAGTTTCGACTTATGATTACCAAATCTTTCAAATAATCATATTATATTTGCAATTAAAGTTAATTGATGACAGTTTAATTAAGCAATTTGAAGATTATTTGCTCAAGAAACAGTCTAAAACATACCAAAATAAAACTCATTTAAGAACAGTATGGTTTCTGAATACATACTGAAACATAGGTTCGCCTCTGATTTGTCAGTGTTTTAAGCAAAGCCAACCAAGGGCCACCATATACATGTACATGTATAGTTTTATTCACAAGAGAGTATTAGACACAACATAGAACAATATTTAATACAGCATGATATAACTAGAATAATCAGTTTCGGATGTATAAATGTCATGTCTGTCATATAGTGTATATTTTTTATTGATATAAGATATAAATAACTGCTAATGTGAAGATATGACGTATTATTATATGTTTTTGTTAGTTAATGACACGTCATAAGAAACGCCATTGTGATAATTATCATATAAGTGGTTAATTGATTCGTAATGCCTTGATTTTACTGCCAACATCAAATTACACCTTAGCCTCCGGCACTCGTATCATGATAATCTAAAACAAATAGCACATATCTGTTCATTCTGTAAACATACGAAAATGTCTGCTTGTCGATTATTATATTCAGAATACAATATTTCAGCAAATCAAACACATTGCAGATTTCTTTCTTGTAATGACGTAATGATAAAATTTATGTATGTTATATGACATTACAGAATTATAACAGAATATCTGTTACAGGAGAAAATTAGGCGCTAATTGAGCGTTAGTATTACTCGATTAGTAAATTGGTTTGTCGCAGGAAATAAAGGGAACTATCAAAATAAGAAACATAGGCAAATTAGGAAGTGAAAGGATATTTATCTTAGGACATAAGATAGATTATAGCCGGCTGATTTATAATTATGTTAGGAAACAGTCTATGACCAAGAGAAATTCAGCGTTCGTCCAAGGTGTTAATGCCATTACCGATGCGTAAAAATATAGTACTAGATTTAACCTTAAAATCATTTTTCATGTGTAATTCTTTCTTAATGTACCTTCACATTGATACAAATATATTTATCAAACGGATTTGACCTTTTAGTACATTAAAAAGGTAGATAAATTCTCGGTAGATTGTATAAGTGAAAAACGTTGAAATTTTTATTGCTCTAAAGCCTCCTGAACAATAATAACTGTTTATGATAAAAAAAATCAACAATCTTATTTGTCCCACACAAGAAAGAAATCTTTAAGTAACTTTTGTTTCGACTGATTGTTTACTTTTTATATCAATATCGTTAGGGACATATCTGGAAGAACTATCAACTAACTTAAAATAATCCATATCATGCAATTTGGTTCAAATTGGACTAGGATCATCCCTGTTTTTGTTTAATTTTGCACAGAGTTTATATGCGTAGTAATATTTTTTACGCTGAGGAAAGACAAGAAAATACATTTTAATTTAATGATGCACAATATGCCACAGGAAAACTTTAATTTTTAGTTCTTAAAGCTGTTAACTCATGTTACTTTTTGACAGTAAGTGTAGTTATGCTTTAGTATTTTGTATGGAAGACAAAATACTTCTATATTTACATTTTTGCTACTTTTATGACCGATAATTACAAATTCAGTCCTACTTTCTTCAGATGATAAGCATCCAACATGCTCTCAAACCATAACATAAATATTAAAATTATCATATTTGTCTATTCTGAAGAAGGAAACAGATATTATGATGTGCCTTTAAGGAGTGGAACAGCAAATATATAATTTTATGTAGTTTTGAATGCTTTGAGAGTTTATGTACAAGATCAGGCGTCTCTTTTGATATTTTTGTTTTAAAATAACTGCCTGTGGAACAAAATGCTAACTGAACAATAACTCCTCAAACGAAAACGTTTCAAAAAATAAATGATTTTGATTAAAAGATACATAACAGGACTTTGCAATCCCCGGTATATACCGGGTCAGACTGTAACTGCAGGTTACATGGCAGCCAGGTCAATCTGCAAATCTAGGTTCCATATATAGGTTGCCATTTTCTGTTTCAAAGGCTGAAATTTTATATAAAAAAATAAAAATAATAAAAAAAAAACAACAACAACAACAAATTTATGTAAAATTTTGTTAATATTTTTCAGTTGCACCGGAAGTATCTTTACCTACAAAAAGGCTAGGACAGTTTCTTGGGAGAGAGACTATTTTAGACTGTGAAATAACAGCTTATCCACACGCCATCATGAACTGGAGGAAAGGCGAGGAGGATATTGACTTTTTTAACAAAGAAAAATATCAGGTATTTTATCATGCGGGTGAAAGAACAAATTTATTTTCTCAAAATTGTAGTTTTTTTTATAAATAAGCGTGACTTTGAATAAAACAAAAATTGTGTCATAACGATTTATTTTTTAATTGTTTTCAATTTCCCTACAACTGAATACAATATGTATGAAAAAGAGATAATTTAGACAAATGCAATATAACTCTTTATGTTTTTTATGCTATTAAAATGTATTAATTGCTTAAAGTGTTAAACTGTTTCCCTCATTTATCATCGTTGCTATTTTTTAGTCATTATTTAAGTTAAACATTTCTTGAAATGAAGTTTTTTTTTCTAGCGATGAAAAGGCTTTTTTATGTAGCTATTTCAGCTGCAAAGCAGACCTCAAGGACTTAAATATATTTACAAAATGAACTGATATTTATTACCGCGTATGAATATTTCATGAAGACAGATTAGTTTTAATGACACTTTAAAGTTATTATTCACTACTATATGGTAAATGGTTTTACCTCGCCTTGAAAAAAGAAAAATGATACACTGTCAGACAAATTAAACGAAATGATGAATAATTAATGATTCTCTAGAATAAGGATTTTTTTGTAAACATTTTTATATCAAACATGCTGAATATTGTAATAGAAAATAAAATAAACATAGCAATACTTTCAGACATGCATCACGTGTTTTGTCCCATGGCATTGAATATATGAGCCGTGCCATGACAAAACCAACGTAATGCGTTTGCGACCAGCATCCGCGCAGTCTGATCAGGTTCTATGCTGTTCGCTTACAAACCCTATTACAAGTAGAGATACTGATAGCGAACAGCATGGATCCTGATCAGACTGCGCGGATGCGCAGGCTGGTCTGGATCCATGCTGGTCGCAAACCCATTATGTTGGTTTTGTCATGGCGCGGCTCAATTATATGAAAATGCTGTTTGCCGAATAAAGTCGATCATGTAGGAGTTGATAACTCAGCTGATCCCCATGTGGTGGAATGGTTAACTCTCATTGTTATGCTGTCAGATATTACAACGACCTTTGACCTTTTATTTCTCTTCTCACATATCCTTTTAAAGGGTCTATTAAACTGATCACGTGCGTGCACGTGCTCAATATATAACAAAAAAAAGCTGTTAATGTCTTATTTGAGCTGTCAAGTATCGGCTCGGTTCAAAATTTCAGGTATAAAAAATATGGAAAAATGGAAAAGTTATATTTTTTGTAACGTTTGGTTGATAATAAGGCGTGTTTAGCATCACGTGATACCTTTCTAGGAATGCCAAACTATCACATGTGAAAAAACGAGACAAAATTGGATTGGACACCTTCATTACTCCTTTGGCTGTCTTCTAAATTCATTGCATTTACTTAAACTTTTACACCAAGCTAAATTAAAAGTGAACACTTTTAAAACGACACATATGAATACAAAACTGGAGTTTGAAACGCTAAAAATAACCGAATTCAATTTGGCAATGAATTTTAATTTGGCAAACTGAAAATCTGGATTGGCTCGAAATCCATTTTGGCCGAGAATGTTTTCGCTTAATAATAGCACGAAAAAAGGGTTGATGCAACATAAAGTTAATTAGATTGTCAAGAATGTTTTAACACGGGTTTTGAACTAAAACAAGTCCTTCCAAAAACATTTTATGAGTCCCAAATTAATGTTAGAACGCTTGGCGCTGAAAATGTTCTATCAAAGTCGTGAGGTACATTACCTTTATTAATTTTACGAGTTAAATAATATTATTAAACATATCTAGTCAGCCGTCTGTATTATGTTGGAATGTCTGATTTGACCGCCAATTTAGTATACTGTGACACCTCAGACCATTTTTATTGAAATATTTTTTTATGTTCATTCATAGGATTGTCAATGCAATAATATGTATATTTTGATATATATTTTCAGGTTGAACTGTACAGTGGAAATGACGAAAGTACCCGGAAGACACTTAGTTTAAGGGTTAGGGATATTCATGAGGAGGATTATGGTGAATATACATGCTATGCTGAAAATAAAATTGGCAGTGATAAGGAAACTATGCTGTTATATGGTATGTTTAATATGTTTCTAAATAAAACACAATGTTCATTTTAACATAGTTTGTCCTGATGAAACCAGTCTCGTGGATAGACAACTATCGTACATATATCTTTGGTGGTTTCATGAATTTTTATAACTACCGTTTATAAACAGTGGTTAATAATTGTAGCTTGCGTGCATTATAAACTACCGTTCGTAAACTTTCTTGCATTTTCAACAATCTTTCATTTCATTGACGGTGAGTGTTAATGGAAACATGCATTTACACATCCGTTCATAAACAGTTGGAAATAAATGGAAACATTTATGTACAACTACCGCTCATAAACAGACTGTTGTCGTAGCTTTCGTTCATAAACAGAGAGTGTTGATGGTAGCTTGCATTAACAACTGCCGATCATAAACGCTATATATTATGTTAGCATGTATGATCATAAACATACTCTCTGAAATCTAGCATTTCCCGAGTTTTGACTATATAAGTAGCACACTTTTACCGTACCTATTCATTTACATGACATTGAGTTTACTGAATAGTATGTTTTTCAGAATTATAATACTTTTGTGCCTTTCATTTGGAATAAATTCTGTGTCAAATACAGAGGTCATTGCATAGATACGTAATAAGATCTTAAAACACTATAATTTTAATTACAGAAATTGAAAAAAAGTTCATAAGTGGATGTTGTTTACAATGTGTTATTGTTTTCATTCAAAATGAAATGTTATAACATTTCGCTTTTTAAGTTTCTATTTGTAACTAGAAAAAAAAATCTACAAATTAACACATTACAAAGTGGAAAAGGTTTCAGTTTAAAACAGGTGACATTTATCATATCATAAATCAAACAGTTACCAGACAAAGTTCATTAATTTTATTACGAAGATATGTTTAAAAGTTTCAAATGTTTTAAAGACATGCTGATGACAAATGCTTTTGTTGCAATGGATGTCATGATAAACGTTCTCAATTATTTCCCTACAAATTTATTTTACATTAACAATCACGAAATACCGCAAAGCTTTCTAAAAATTAGATAAACCGTTAAACTAAATTTTTGATGTATCTGTTAACAAATAAGGAGCGTGATATCGGCGTTACCTTTAACACCATCAAAATATACTCTCATAAGTTATCGTAATACTTTCATAGATATGTCTAACTTATCTAGAACAAATAGCTTTACCCATTATATAAGATCATATCCATAAACTAAAATAATATAAGTTAATTTAGATATGATATTATTGATATTTTTGAAATCACTACTACTTTCGAGGGTCTTAAAAGAAAGTAATTTCTGCTTAGAAGCTACAAAGCACTATGCATCGATTACATATTATAGAAAATAAAGAGTATCTCTCATTTCCAACAAATAAATTATTAAATTAGTAATTAACTAAGTAAATTAGGCATTAGTTATTAATTAAATAAAATAGTAAATTAGTAATTGATTAAATAATTATAAATTAGTAATAAATGCTCATAATACCAACCAATTATGAAAAAATGTAACTAAAGTAAGCCTTACAAAATACACATTGCCCGTATCTGAAATACAAAAACATATACCATTTATTAACACTGGTTAGAAGATTAAACATTTTTGTAAACTGAGTGATAACTTCCGGTATCATTACTTTTATTTCAGATTACGCTACTCATGAAATGAAGAAGACTACACCGTCTAAAAGACCTCCTCTAATTGACCCGCCTGTATCTAAACCAAACATTCCATTACATTCAGACGGAAGAGGTACAGGAAAAACATTTATCACAATAGATGGATCCAGAAAGCCTATTCTTCACGATACCAACAGGAATGATGCCCACAGACGTCTCAGACCGGGTAATGACGATTCTGTGTACGAAAATGAAGTAGCAAAGCGCACAGGATCTCGAGCTGTGAAATGCTCTGGCACATTTGTTACTATCTGTATGTTTAGTGCACTGCATGTCTGCCTTTGTTTAGCTTTCTGTTCATCATTATCAAACTCTTTAATAAGTAAAGGGCCGGTGCTTATTATTTTTCAGCTATTTTTACCCATGTATTTTTTTGTTTTGTTCTATTCTTTGTCTTGAAACGATATTTTGCTAGTGTCTTTACATTCCCGTGTTTAAGGTTTTATTGTAACAATTTTATTAAGTATATATAGATGATATTGGCTTGTTTTGCATGGAAAATCAAAACATATTTCACAGAATGTACATCAGATGCAATAATTTCTTTTTTGCAAAATAAGCAAATGGTCTATTTAATTAATGCGCATTTACTGGACGTTTTCAAAATTGATGTGACAATGTTCATGCTGAAAAATTATCCTGACATTTTATTTTTTATATGATGTGCGAAAATATTTATTTACAACCGCAATCATATACATTTTACTTTTGATGAAGTTTATTCCTGGCGAATTTTTCTTTATTTTTTATTATATCATTTTTCATCCGCTTTAAAAACTAGTCCTGCTACACTTACTTTAATTCTTCTAAAATCATGTTATAAATGGTGTTATTTGACTCCAAAAAAGGTAAGGCAGTTTCAAGATATCGTTTATTTTTAGTTAAAAATTTTAAGGTAGATATTTTATGTCCGTTCTTTTCAGTGGTGTTCTTTGTGTTTCCATGTTTTTCTATTTTATGTTAATTAAAATAAAAACTTGCTGGCACATAATTATTGCTTAACTTTAACTTTATTTATACATGTCAAATCAAGTTTATTCTTTTCTAACAAAATCATTTATACTCTGATAATTTGCTGTGAATCAATCATGGAAATAACCACAATATCTGTTTAACATATCGGAGATGTTCAGATTTTCTAGATTAGAGATTTGTTTCCCTTATGCTGTCAGTTTACTATTCATTTAATTGTTTCCAGATATTAACGCAAGTTTCCCCTGATTTCTGATTGCTGTGATATCTTTTATATATAACCTCTGCTATTCAAAGTATCCCACATGCTTGTTGCTTTTTATAATCGTGTTTAGAATATATAATTCCGCCTACACATAATTCTAAACTAAGCTTTGATCCTTTCTTGAATGATAAACTAGTATATATATCGAACCTTATTAGCAATATTATAAATTTACGCCTAACTTATAAGTTACAACAATTCATCTTGTGTCAAAGATTACTGTTTATTTGGATAAGGGTGTAACTTTTGTTAAGAAATATGAGTACATCGCTTGTCTTGAGACAGTGCTCGCACCCAAACCCCACCCCAGTCTGGATTCTCGGATCTGCATTTTAGTGTATTTTTAATTTTTAAATCATAGACACAGTGAAATGATTGACTTTATTTGGCTTTCAGCTTCCCTCCTAAGAAATCATAATTCTTACTTTTTGCATTGTGAGGTGCGGTTTCGTTTTTCTGTAAATTGGTTTTATTTAAAGCGTTCCTGTCTAGCACGTATGCGTGTGATTTCTAAATTATGTATAAAGTATGTCTAAAACCAGTGATTACTTTTCATGGACTGTAGATTAAATTTAAACTTTGGGTGTTATTATGTTATTATTTTTACTTTGTAAACTTGTTAAAGGGAATGGTAAATGAGCGAAACCAGCGTAAACTATTGAATACATTGTATATAGTACATTACATTATATGAAACATTTCAAGATTCATATAATAAACGCATGTTCAGGAGGTAGACATTTTATCAGAAATCCTATGTTACATTTAAAATATAAATTTTACAGAATTTCACATAAAAGTTTTCCATAGTATTCCATCATGTACAATATCACCCTTATTCATTACATTAAATGTTTATTTCATATGTACACAAGTACGAGTATATGACAATGTTAAAAACTTTAGTATGGTTACGAAAAAAGAACTTCATTTAACGTGTGATTGGTTTTAATTATTTTTATCATGTAGATAACCAAAACATTATAATTGATTGTTTTGTTTTATTTTCAGGTGAAGGGGAAGGTACGGCATCCATGAGCCATGCCAGTGAGTCAAGTGGTCACGTGACATTAAATTCAGTATTATGCGCTTTAAGCCTTATTACGTCAAACCTTGTGCTACTTATGCTTTTATAGCTTAAAACAATGCCTGTAAGTTAAAAGAAAAGATACGTTTCATTCAACAGACAATAGAGGAACAATCGAAGCAGTTTGCTCAACGTAATTAAACGACAAAAAGTTTGTGTTTGTTTTAAATTGTTTGTTGGTTAAGATTCAGAATATAACTTTCAATAACTTTCAATATCTGTAGCCAAAGAACTAAATGGCGTCGGGTACATTTATTGTGACGTGATCATTAGAGAACACTTAATAAGTGCCTCTATGTAAATGTAAATTAGTGATCACGAATGTCTGTAAATCGTTAAAAAATATGTCAAAAAACCCCCTTACAAATAAACATGCGTTTGTGTGTCAACACAGATGAAAATATGGATATCAGATGTGTGAGTGCTAGGATTTTATGTGACCCAAATGTAATTGGATTATATTCTTAACAATATGAATTGTACATGGGATTTCTGTGACGTAAGCGATGAATGTTGACACTAGAAGAGTATCAGATCATTAACATGCACATCTTAACATTTAACTGTATCTTACAGTCAGAATAACCCGGCATGCTTGAGATGTATTACATGTTACAGATTCTTACACTTAAAACAATATTTCTTCTATTTCCTATGTGCATCGTTGTGCTTTTTAATTGATATACTTACATGACAGCAAATGTTACGACTGCTTGTAGACATTTGAGGTGCTTGCCCATTATAATTGTGTAATCAATCATTACTTTTCTACAAATACTTCTATACTGTATTAGCAACCAAATGTGTACCAACTTTTGCACTAAAGTAACTTAATAAAGGCGATATTAAGAGAACCCCGTATGAACAATGAACCCCGTTCTTAACAATTTTATGTTACTTTGTATTTCAGATACTGTGCATAGAAATCATAAAGGGCATTTATATAGATCAATCATTATAATAAATCACCGATTCTCCATCTGTTATACTACTCTAACATGTATTATATCAAATGTAACATTCCGATCAAAATGTGTTTTCCTTTTATAAAAAGAAAACAAACGAAAAAACAACGGAAAACATAGGACTTCAAAGCAGTAGCTTAAATGGAGGCTACAAATGTTTTGACTGCAATATAAGTAACAATATTATTGGTATCGTTCTAATAGAGTGAAAAGGTAGTTCTAAATATCTATTATTGTTTATATCGCAAGTTTCTAGTATTGTCATTAGATATGATAGACATATAAAATATAATAGTATAATTTCTGAGAAGTTTATTTTTTTTCTTTTTCATTAATATTAAGGAATTCTAGTATGTTGATGGTTGTTTAGTTTTGTTTAATATTATCTATACAATAATCGGTTGTTTTTGTATGATTATTTCATTTTCTTGTGGTTATTTCGCTTGTTTGCAAGTTTGTATTGTTTTTGTTTAAATATTTGAAGAAAAAATATTTTAATACGTTATTTTTGTGTGTAAATCAATGTAAATACTTTCAGAAATATATTTGGTTAGTACTTTTTTACCTTTTTATGGAAACGTGTTTTTAAGTTGCAGTTAATACTTTGGTACAGTAGTACATTTTACCTTTTTATTGAAACATGTTTTTAAGTTGCGAAAATTTGTTAATATTTGATTATTATATATTTAACTTGTTTTCCCCCCCCCGAATAAAAATTTCTATTTTCAAAATCTTAAATGAAATAGTCACCTTGTGAAAGAAAAGGGGTTTTTTTCCTTTATATAATTAAATAAAAATTTAACTTTTTATCCCCACTAAAAATTTGGATAACTTTGATTCTTCTGTCCCCTAATTTTCCCCTTTTCCCCTAAGAAAAAGGGATTTTGTGCCCATGTTTCCAAAATTTGGTTTGAAAAAAATTTAGAAACCTGATTTTTGGACCCGTATTTTTTTTTTGGTGGTATAATTTGTCCTTTTACAAAAAAACATTTTTTTTAAAAATAGGTTTAAATGTTTTTTTAACCCCAACCCATGTATGACAATTTCATTAAAATTTGTACTAGAAATCTTTCCCTTGTTGTTTTAAAACCCTTTAAAAATTCCCTTTTTTATGTACGAATCATGATGTTGAAGTTTTCATTTCTTTTTTTTTTAAATAATTTAAAATAGATTTTGTGTGATACTATTTTCTTAATGTATAATGTTTGTCTTATACTGTTAATCAGGAGTGCGAATCTACTTGACCTCATATTATTATTTTTTGTTCATTTTTTATTATCATGTAACTGACCAAGTCAAGATAAAACGTTAAATGTTCATTTATTATTTTAAGGTGTTCATATTTATGCAAACAGCATTTCAGTTGATATATTAAAGATAAAACAAACATAACATAGTCTGTTTTCATTTATTCTTCTGTAATGGTCCGCTGAGGGAATGATGTAACAGCATATTCTACAGTAATTTTAATTCTATTGTTACTAACAGAGTTGCGCCAGGTTTGCTTGAACTCTTGACGATTTATGGTGACTTATTAGTATCGTTTTCTATCTGATATATGTTGTTTTAACTATATCTCTGGTCTCCCTACCGAGTTTGGAAATTCTGAGATACATTGAAAATCATAGTCGTTTAAACTCGACATATATGTGTATAATAATAACGAAAATTTGCTTAATATGCTTTTTTCCGAGTCCGAAACAGAATAATGTTTTTTTCTCACAGTTATGAATACTGGTGATGTTCATGTTCTACTGTAGATACAGCTTATGAGGTATTCTTCATGTTTTCAAGCATGTCCTAATACTTTACGATCCATAAGTTAGAAAGGGAATGGGCATAATGCTCATAAAACTTGTTGATTTATGCTTTTAACGTATTTACTTTACCAAGAACAGTTTTGTTAATGGTAAATATGTTATCTATTAAACAAACAAGATGAATTTAGATTTTAAATCATTAGAAATTTTTTCCCAAATTTTTTCTGTCCTTTTGAAAAAAAATTATTTTGGGGAATTAAAAAAGGGGCACTTTAAATTAAAAAATTGCCCATTTATAAAACCATGAAAAAAAACAGAGGGAAATCTCTGAATAAGAAAATTTAAATTTTAGTAGGAAAAACAAAAGTAGTTGACGCCCATTTGGATGGAATTAGTCCCTTTTAAACCTTTGGGTTTTAAAAAATTTTTTAATTTAAGCCTCGTTTGGGGGGAAAAATTTCTTGGTTTTTAAAAATTTTTAATCATTTCCCGGAAGGTCCCGTCCGGGAAACCCTGGAAATTTAAATATAATTTTAAATTTTTTTAAAGTCTTTTAAATATATATGTTGCAGATGGTTTTTTTAAACAAAAAAAGGGGTTTTATTTTTTTAAAATCCCCCTTTTCCCGATTCCCAAATAAGCAAAGGGTTTTTTAACCCTTAAATTGTTCCCAATAAAACAAATAGAACAATTTTCATCTTCTTTTAAAGATAAAAATTTTAGGGCCGGGGTTTTTTTTTGTCACAAATTTTTCCGTTTCCTTCAAAAATCACAAAAGGCTGTTGACAAACTGTTTCAGCGTAGCACCGTGTTGAAATTCTGGGGTGCTGTTGTATATATTCCCAGACATAGTCCTAACAATGCGCTGCTGTTGGAAGTTTATTGTATACGGTCTTTGCAATAAATTGCACATGATTATGGTGTTCTGGAATTGAAAGACACGCCCACTCAGATTAGAAGTAATTCCTGCTAACCACCTAACAATTACGTAGACAGTTTTCTTAATGGAAATAGGTATGTTTCGGGACGAGTGATTTCATTATGGTTATTGAATGAGACAATAATTATAAGTCTTGAAATTGACAATTTTGCAATAATTACGAATCGACAATTATTTTGTAGGTATTAGCAACTTCAGGGCGAATCTTTTTAATTTACTTACAAGTCGTGTCATATATATCAAAGAATTTTTGAAAGTAAATTAATACTGCACGCACGATTGGAAATAACGAAGTCTGATTTTGAAATACTTTATTGAACAAAAAAGCATCGATTTAAACAAGCTCTGTTCTTATTTTTCTAGTATTCGTTAAATTATGTTTAATTCAAATGTGATGTTAATAATTCAATAGATATTCCTGAATATTTGTTTATTTCATTATTTACAATTCTATTATGTTCCGTCAGAAACATTTGAAAGGGACTCGTAATTCTGGAACAGTCTTGAATGTTCAAATACCTAGCTCTCAATATCTCAAATAGTAAAGCGAACAATTCGTTTCATGATCTTCTATTTTTTGAAACGAACTTCACTGACGTCCTTCAAATACGTCTCGGGATTCTGTTGTTAAGAAGGCTTAACAGTGGCATGATTCACTTTTCCAAGATAAAATTACTGAAACATTTTTAAAAGAACACGCAATCGTTTTTCAAACAGAAAATTAAAGCTTTAATTACTGGAATGACACCCCAAATCATCGAGGAATCTTGTTCAGATATATTTATGTGTTCCAGCTATCTCTGCTTCTGTAGAGCAACTATCTAGTATTGCTGAAGGCTATTTTGATCTGAGACATATACTATCCAAATGATTAGTTATTTAAAATGTTAATGTTTATAAAATGCAAAAAGAAGATATGAAACAGATAATAAAAGGAGCATTGTCGCACCCTTTTAAATAGAGTTACATATTGGCGGTTTGCTTTTAAATCGGGTTGTTCACTTTATAACATTATTTTTATCACAGTTATTGAGAGCTTTTTCGGACGATTCACATGGAAAACAATAACTAAGCTGAGTTTTATAAAGATATTTTGTTGACAAGCTCGTAGTCTCGGTGACTCCCATACATAGTTACGTCAGTTGAAAGATCCGTAGGCATGGAACTAAATTTTGAATGGTCATCTTGTACATGGTATCATGGTATTCAATCTGGATGAGTCATAAATTAGCTACTTGCATAATCATTTAAACATACTTTTTAATTATAAGTATTTTAACATGCACATCTAAAGTTGTTCTTTGCGGGTCAATCACTGCATTATGAATTACCGGACAGTTTAAATATCTTCTATTTAAGTAAGAAAACAATGTTAGGTATGACCTTGAACAGTTTGGTTTGTAGCGTACTGTTGCACACAACAAATCATTTTTACCATTATGTTTCATATTCAGTCTGATTGATTATGCATTACCATTAAAACCCGTAACAAACGCGTACTTGAAATTGTTTTAGATAGATAAAATGTGTCATATTAAAAATTCAATCTTACACTTATTTATTTTTTATCATTTTTATCAAGAAAAGATATATGACCCTGTATTTTAGAAGTGATGAAAATACAAGTATATTTAGAGTTTACAATAGCACATTATTGGTTATTGGCTTTTTTCCAATTCAAATTAATTTGAAAAAAAAATCAAACATATACTCAAAATTTTAGGAAGATTACCGGCGACTATATGATAGGTATAATACACATTCTTCCAAATAGATCTTGAATCATCAAAGAGGCGGTATGCCGCCTTCTTCTGTTTGTCAAAAATAATGTCAGAATCAAGAAGAAATTATAGTTTCTCTGACATCATTTAAAGTTACTTTCCAATATACATTTGCAATTATATATTTATGATTTGATAATAGGCTAGCTTTTATCTTTTCGAAAACTTCAATCTACGAAAACGACTCTGATTTATATAGGACTGTGAAATAAATGGTCCTGATTAAGATCTTGTCACATTTTATATTAATCTATAGAATTAGCTAATGAACAACGAAATAAATTATAGACCCAAAAGTAGAAACTCAGCGTTCATTGTCAGTTATGTCGTCTGCCTCGGTAAAAGTAATGATCATTTTTGACATGTGGTGTTTAGGATAGATATTTCTAGAATTAAGAACAATTGCTTTAAGATGCAATAAACTACCCAATTAGTCGGTATTTTACTGTCTTTATAAACATGAGGGAAACTATCTTCTATTTTCATTTGGATTCAATTATTTTACTATGTTAATAAATTTAAATTAAAAGAAATATAACTGTTAAAACAATCAATTTTCATAACTTACTTCAATTTTTAGTTGTAAGCGCTC